TGTCAAGAGGAGAATGGAAGAGAAGGGATTATGGTGTGGCCATCTCTTCTAGGGGTGATTTCTCACGTTCCCTCTCTGTCTCCAGTGAGCACATCTGCCTTATGACAAAAATCTAAAAGAAAAAAAAAGAGAGAGAGAGAAAAAAGAAAAGAAAAAAACCAGGAGATGGCATAATGGTTATATCACTGGACTCCCATGTAGTCAACTGCGGTTCGAGTCCTGGACCTGGCAGCTTAACATTCATGCCAGGAGCATGTGCATGTGTGCCCAAAATCTTGTGAGAAGAATGGAAGAGAAGGGATTGCAGTGTGGCCATGCCCCTGGTGGAGGGACAGGGTAGTTTCTTGCTGTCTCTCCAGGGAGCACAAAAAAAATCTTAAAAAAAAAAAACTTTGCAGGGCTTCATGCCTCGAAAAACACATTGGATGCATTTGTATGTGCCCAAAATCCTAAAAGGAGAGAGAAATGGGGACGAAGGGATTGCAGTATGAGTGTGCCCCATAGTGGGTGCTTTCTCACTTTCCCATCTCCCTCTCTGTCTCTCTAGAGTGAGTCCACATGCTCTTTAGCAAAATTAGAAAAGAAAAAGGGAAGCCAGCTGGTGGCAGCTGGATCTCACATGGCCAACCACAGTTCCAGTCCCATACCTGGGAGCTTGAAAAACATGCTGTGCATGTGTGCCCAAAATTCCAAGAGGACAATGGAGGAGTAGGGATTATGGTGTAGCCATCCCCCTGGAGGAGTGCTTTCTCACATTCCTTCATTCACTCTCAGTTTTTCTCCAGTGAGCATCTACATCCAATAGCAAATTAAAGAAAAAACTAAAAATAAAAAACAACAAAACTTTGCAAAAGAGCATAAACTAATAAAAGCAGAAAAGCTCCTTATGTTTATAGAAGACTTTGCAAGTAAAAACTGCCTTCATATGTACATTATTTTATTTGAGATAGAAAAACAGCTGTTATTCTATTAAGAAGACAATTAGAGACTCAAAGTAATATGGAAAGTGTTAAGTACCTGAGCCAGAAATGGATTTTAGTTCTTCTTAGATCTTTACTATTAACGCCTTTTCTCAGTATGTTTATTCATTTAAAAATTCCAAAAAGTGTCCATTTTTTCCTTTCAATAACTTTCCTGTTAAATTTCTAGAAATTCTTTATTTTCCACTGCTCCTTGGGGACTAAGTCTTCATTTTAATTATCAACGTCCTGGAAGATGTTTGTATAGCCATAAGTTTAAGTCCCAAAACATGGCTCCTAATGAGAGCGGCCTAGAAAGGTGCAGATGATTATTTTTCTTTTAAAACCAAAGATATATATATATTTTTCAAGTATGCAGAGTACTTAAATAAGACATTGATTAACATGTTTACAAAATACAAATGTGGATATAGATATAATTTCAATCTTTACACATATTATAACAGATAAGGAATTTTCAAATAGAGTGGATTCAATCTTTTAAAGATATGAGATCAGGACCAGCAGTTAGCGTAATGGCTATGTCGCTGGACTCCCATGTAGTCGACCGCGGTTCGCGTCCCAGACCCGGTGGCTTAAAACTCACGCTGGGCGCGTGTGCGTGCGTGCGTGCGTGCGTGCCCAAGATCCTGAGAGGAGAATGGAGGAAAAGGGATTGCGGCGTGGCCATCCCCCCTGAGGGGTGATTTCTCCTTTCTATCTCTCTGTTTCTCTCTGTCTGTCTGGCGAGCGCACGTGACCTATAGCAAAAACCTCTCCAAAAAAAATTAAAAATTAAAAAAAAAAAGATATGAGATCAGCTTAAGAACATGGTACAAAAGGGATCACCTGTAATTCTAGATGAGGACTTCTGTAAGTGTAACAGAAAAGTTGTTGAAAGTAATAATAAAATCAATTTGTTTGGCTTTTTAAAAAAGAATTATTTATTTTATTTATTATTATTTTCACATGAGTTCACCAGAGAGAGATGGGGGGGGGGAGTGAAAAAGCAAGCCAGCAGGTCTGGTACTTGAACCTTGGTTGGCCATATGGCAAATCCAGCACCTTAATTACCATGCCTCTGACATTTTTGTCTTTTCCTTTTTTTTTCTTTTCTTTTAGAGATTTTTACTATAGGGCACATGTACTTGCCAAAGAGACAGAGAGACAGAAAGTGAGAAATCACCCCCTGAGAGGATGGCCATGCCGCAATCCCTTCTCCATTTTCCTCTCAGGATTTTGGGCTGCACGCACACACACATGCACACACACGCACAGACGCACCCAGTGTGAGTTTCAAGCCGCCAAGTCTGGGACTCAAACCACGGTCGGCCATGTGGGGATCCAGCAATGTAACCATATGCCATCTGCTGGTCCCTATTTGGCATTTTTTAAAGAACATTTTAGAATTGAAAAGCCTATCAAACTTAGAAAATTGGATTTCAAAAACCTATATTATACATATGAATTTGGATCCTAACATAGAATTCTCTTTATGTTTTCATACAGTTATGATAGTAATTCCTTAATTTCTCAAAAACTAAGCTATTATATAATTGAAACTGTAAACCAGAAAGTAAGAAAAGTCACTTTTAAAGTTTGCAATGGAGCCAAAGATGTCATAAAAAAAAAACAAAACAAAAAAACATATGTACTCCCAAATGGGAATCTCTCAGGCTCTGATCAAAATACTTTCCATTGTGTTCTAAAATAATTTTTATATCTTAAGAAGTCTTATTTCAAAACCTGTAGTTTGTTACAAATTGTCAATAGAAAAGGATTGTTATTGGCAGATAAACTGACAGAAATAGATAGTAACAGCTGGTAGCCAAGCAGTCAGGAAGAATATGCCAATAGTCAAATTAGTCAACCCTAAGGAGCACTGTTTGGGGTCATATAATATAGCTACCCAAAGCAACTTTGAGGATCTTCCTGAGAACATTTTGTATTCGTACTTCAATTTTTGGTAAAGGCTAAATTTAGGCTAGCATACTCCATTTAAGAAGTCAAAAGTAATCTACTTGCAGAGAAGCAAGAAATTTACTAAAATGTTAAATCTTGGGATTTTCAAAAATTATATATTTATTTATTTATTTATTTAATTCCACTTGTTATTATTATTATTAATTTGACCAGAGAGAGATAGAAACAGAGAGAAAGAGAAAACAAGAAAGCAAGCTGCCAGGTCCAGGACTTGATCTGTGGTCGGCCCTGTGGGAATCCAGTGCCTTTAATGCCACCTGACGACCCTATATATATACAGCCATGTGGGAGTCCATCACCCTTAACCACCATGCTACCTGCCGGCCCTATATTTTTTAAGAGAGTTTTTGCTACAGGGCATGTGTGCTCACCAGAGACAGGGACAGAAAGCAAATAATCACCCCCCAGGGATATGGTCACACCACAATCCCTTCTCCTCCATTATCCTCTTGCGATTTTGGGCACCCACGCACACGTGCCCGGTATGAGTTTTAAGCTGCCAGAACCAGGACTTAAACTGTGGTCAACTCTGTTAGAGTCCAGCAACATAACCATTATGGCATCTGTTGGTCCTAAATCTTGGGATTTTGAGTGTCCTTTATTCTTAGTCTTTTACAAGGGGGCTTCAAAAAACTAATGGAGGGGCCAGCATGTGGCATGGTGGTTAGGGCGCTGAACTCCCACATGGCCGACTGCAGTTTGAGTCATGGACCTGGTGGTTTGCCTTCTCTCTCTCTCTCTCCCTCCCCCTCTGGTCAAATTTAAATCAATTAATAAATAAAATAAAGTTAAGTAAAATAATTTTTTAAAAAAAGCTCATGGAAAATGAAATTAAAGTCTATGTATTTTGGTGCAAGTAAATTTTGAAATTTATGTATTATTTTCTCATAGAATGTATTTTCCATGAACTTATTTATTTATTTATTTTAGATTTTTGCCATAGAGAATGTGGGTTCACCAGAAACAGAAAGAGAGAGAGAAAGTGAGAAATCACCCCCCCCCTCCGTGGGGTTGGCCATGTCACAGTCCCTTCTCCTTCATTTTCTCTCAGGATTTTGGGAGGTACGCACATATGCTCAGTATTAAATTCTTTTTTTGTTTTTTAATCTATTTCAGAAAATTTAAAAAAATTATTTTAATTTTATTCTTATTATTTTCTAATTTTGACCAGAAAAAAAGAGAGGGAGAGAGAGAAAAAGGGGAAGTGAGAAAGCAAGCCACCAGGACTCCAACTATGGTTGGCCATGTGGGAGTCCAGCATCTTAACCATCGCCCTGTGATTTTTCAAGCTGCCGGGTCCAGGACTTATACAGTGGTAGGCCATGTGGGATTCCAGTGCCTTAACCAGCATGCTACCTTCTGGCCCCAAACTTTTTTTTTTTATCTTTTGTCAGAGACAGAGATGGGTGAGGAGGACAGGGAGAAAGCACACCCCACTGGGGTGTGCTCACACGGCAGTCCCTTCTCCTTTTCATCCTGCAGAGATTTTGAGAAGACACATGTGCCCAGTGTTTTTCAAGCTGCCAGGGATGGGATTTGAACCATGACTGGCCATATGGAATCTGGCCCCTTTAAGCATGAGGCCACAGAGCCAGCTTTCTGTGAACATTTGAAGGCTCCAGTATAGATTACTTTTATAATTGGGGAAAAGTTGATTTTTAAAGTCATGAGACTTTATCTGGAGACATTTTTACCAAACCATTAATTCAAAAGACTAAACCTTCATCTATGTAGAAATCATATATTTATATAAAAGGAGTAAGTCCTCAATGTTTGTAGGTTCCTGAAGTGTTGTTACCTATGTCCATTTTCCTACCTCTATTTCTGTGTACTTGCCTATCTATGATTGCAAGATTAAAATTAAGTAATCTTCCAAAATAGTTATAGAATTTTCACTCTTTAACCAAACAAGTTAGGAAAAGAACACTATCTGCAGTAGGTATAATATAACAAGCAGAAAACTACCTTAGAGTTGAGAAAATTTAAGACAATATTTAATTGAATTTATTCAGTGACTTTAAAAATAATATTCTCGATACATAATTATTTCACTTACAGATGATGAAGAACGAGAGCTTCAAATGGATCCTGCAGACTATGGAAAGCAACGTTTCAATGATGTCCTTTAAGTCCTAAAGGAAAACTTCAGAAAACCTAAAGTGCTGTAAAATGGAATCATTTCTACTTTGTCATTTTTGACTTTTGCTGTAAAGATCAGTTGTATCGGTTGTAAAGATACATTGAGATAGACTTAAGAAAAACTTTAATGAAGGAATGTACCCATGTACATATATGTGAACTTTTTCATATTGTATTATCAAAGCAGAGACTTTTTTGGTTATGATACGGTTGAGCCAAAAACAGTTAATCTTTGCATTTAAAGCAAACTAATGTATATTTCACATTTTATTGAGCCTAATTCTTCCCACAGAGACAAACAGGAGAAAATGGTTGTACAGGTTATATATTGCACATAGCATAACCACAGTGGGAATAGTTATTCATCTGAAAACTTTTTATTACACTAATATATTGTTAGCCCAACATTCTTGCTCTTTAAGAAGCTATATCTAAAATAGTATATAAGAGAGGAGTATCTGGAAGCCAGATGCTGGGCAGTTATGTACAAAATCACCTCCCCACTCTTAATTTTACACGGGTGCCAATGTAAGCCTGGCATATAAGCTTTCGATTGAGGCCTGATTTAAGTTGAGATAACCTGCAAAGGCATAACAATATTTATGAGTTATACCTTACTTAGTTCTTGAAATTGTGGAATGCATGGTTGACAGTATATTTTAAATTTTAATTTTTTTCAAGTAATATCAGTACTGTTTAACTATAGCCATCACTGGTTAAAATTTTTATATTTTCAGAGTTCAAGTTGGTGAAGATATTCATAGTTTAAATGCCAGATCCTGAAAGGGGCTAAATCTACTTTGAAATTAATTTACAATCAGTATTTGGAAGCTTTTCTGATAGTTTTAGTGATCTTATTTGACTAGACTTTTTCAGAAATACTAAATAAGGAATTTTAACAGGTTTTTATTAATGCACAGGTAAATAGAAGTACAGTGAAGTCTACAGCTGTTTTATTAAAATAGCATAAAAGTTTGTAATAAAAATGAATCTTTATAATTACTTAATACCCTAGTTAAGAACCCATCAACCCTCATATTTGCTAGACTTACAAAATTATTTTAAGTGCATTTGTCTTTTTTTACACTATTCAGTAGAGAATGTATAAGCTAGGTAATCTTATTTTTTATTTAAAGCACTTTTAAATCTTCGAAAAACAAAAGGTTTTGATCATAAAGGGAAATGTAAGATTGTTAACCCCATTTTTTAAGAAGGGCTACTGTTAATTGCATATAAACATAAAATGTATCCCCTCCCCCCTACTGAAGTTCCAGTCAAAATTCAAATTTATAGAGGTAAGGAAGTAGGTTGTACACTTGCTGAGAAGAAAAAAATTCTTTAGTCTGAAATTAGTTAATGACCAGGAAAATATACAGTCATTTAGTAAAACTGTTCTTTCTACCATACCAAGGTAAACAGGTCATTTCTTTGTTATTAGTGGGGTCAGGCCTACAATTAATAGGTATAATGGTTCACAAAATTTTTAAAATGGAATTAAAGGGAAGTGATGTACATCTTTCAGGCATTAGGATGGGCACATGAATCTAAAAATACTCCTAGTAATACTTTATCATTAATATTGTAAAATATTTACAAATGAAAACCATGAAATTACCTGCCTTAGTCCCTTTGTTATAAAAACAGGTCACTTGGTCATATGGTAGCTATTACACAACAAAATTTCCTCAATTAGCAGCCTAGAAATTTTGTAAACTGAGTAATCTTGGACCAATCGATAATATTTCTGACTGTATTAACATTTTAGTGCTGTAAAATACTATGTGGATCTCTTAAAATTCTGACATTCTATAGTCTATATAAGACATGCTGATTTTATAATGTTTTACTTCTGCCTTAAGATTTAGGTTTTTTAAAATGTATTTTTTGCCCTGAATTAAGTGTTAATTTGATGGAAACTCTGCTTTTAAAATCATCACTTACTGGGTTCTAATAAATTAAAAATTAAACTTGTCTTACTGATTTGCTGATTCTGATACATATACATACATCACACTCCTGTGGTGCAATAAATGGTTACCTTTTAACACTAAAACTTGAGTTTGTTTAGCACTTATTTTAAGTTAAACTAGAGTAGCAGAAATGTTTACTAAGGCTGTTTATTGTAGAAGTAGGTTTATTCAAGTATTGAATGCCTATTACATGCTCAGCGCTGCTCTAAGTAGTAAGATAAGTGGCTAAGATAAACAAGGCCTCTGCTCTCATACAGCTTAAATACAAGTGAGGGTAGTCAGACAATACACAAACAAATAAACTGATTATTTTAAATAATGATAAGGAGCTATTAAAAATAAAATTTCTAGGGCCAGTGAGGTGGTGTGGTGGTTAAAGTGGCTGGATCCTATGTAGCAAATTGCACATTTTGTTTGAGTCTTGGACCTGGTGACTTGAAATCTGTGCCTAAATTCCTGAGAGGAGAATGGAGAAGGGATTGTGGCATAGCCATCCCTCTTAGGGGGTGACTTCTCACCCACCCAATTCCTCTAGAAAGTTATTTCTCACTTTCTCTCCTCTCTCTCTGTTCTCTGGTGAGTGCTTGTATACTATTGCAAAAACAAAAACAAAAACTTTTTTTTAAGTTCTATCTTTTGAGTTCTCATTTTGTAATCATGTAGCAATAAAATTTGCTAGAATATAACAGAGAATCTAAAAAATATACTTCTGAGGGAGGCAGTTCTCTAATAGCTGACCTCAGAAAACTACAGTTCCCCACATCTGGCATTGTGCTTCTAATGAGATGAACAGATTCCAAGGTCTAGATTATTGGTTCCTACCTAACATCACATGTCAGCCCTTAACACTGAGTCCTAATTGGGATACATCAAGTTCCTCCTTTTTCTTAGAGAGAGATTTTTGTTATAGGGCGCATGCACTCACCAGAGAGACAGAGGGACAAAAAGCGAGAAATTACCATTCCCAGGGAGGATGGCCACACCACCGTCCCTTCTCCTCCATTCTCCTCTTGGGATTTGGGGCATGCATGCACACACACCCAGCCTGAGTTTTAAGCCACCTGGTCTGGGCCTTGAACCGCAGTTGACTATGTGGGGGTCCAGTAACAACCCTTACGCTATCTGCTGGTCCCTGCAGTTCCTTTTTTAAACTCTCTTCAATACGATTCTAAATGAAAATTCAACCTACCAGCCCAGAAACAAATGAGGAATTTAATGTTTATGTAAGAAAACTATATGAAAGGCAGGAGTACCCTGGACTTGACAACAGCAACAAGGACTGAAATGCTGCTAGGACTTTGTTTTACCTACTCTCATTTTACATCTATATGTTATCCTCATTTGTACTTTTTTTTTTTTTTTGGAGAGGTTTTCCCTATAGGACGCGTGCGCTCGCCAGACAGAGAGAGACATAGAGACAGAAAGCAAGAAATCACCCCCCAGGGGGGATGGTCACGCCGCAATCCCTTCTCCTCCATTCTCCTCTCAGGATCTTGGGCACACATGCACACGCGCCCGGCGTGAGTTTTAAGCCACCAGGTCCGGGACACGAACCACGGTCGACTATGTGGGAGTCCAGCGGCATAGCCATTACGCTAACTGCTGGTCCCTCATTTGTTCATTTTTAACAGCTCTCCTCTCAAGACTAACCATGGCTTCCAGCAGACGATAATTTCTCTGTTCTGCTACCCGAGATGGGCTATTGCCCTTCCTTTAGTTTCACTTCAGAAAATCTGAGGGGATGTTGACCCCATAGTGTGGTAGTACTGTGGAAAAGAAGCTGGATCCCACAGGGCCAGACATGGTTCAGATCCTGGCACTGGTGGCTTGAAAAACAAGCCAAGCACATATGTATGCATGCCCAGGATCTTGACAGGATGGAAAGGAGGAAAAGAATTATGCTGTAACCAAGTCCCATTCAGGAGTCTTTCTCTCTTTCTCTCTCTCTCTCTCTCTGGCACAGACATACACTCTTGGGTATTAAAAAGAAAGGGAAGGAGACCAGCAGATGGCATAATGTGTTCGTCACACTGGACTTCCATGTTGTTGACCGCATTTCAAGTCCTAGATCTGGTGGATTGAAACTCATGCTGGGCGTGTATGCATGCATGCCCAAAATCCCAAGAGGAGAATGGAGGAGAAGGGCTTTGTGTCGTGGCTACCCCCCACCCCGGGGGGTGATTTCTCACTTCTTGTCTCTCTGCCTTTCTCTGTCTCTTCAGCGAGTGCATGTGCTCTATAGCAAAAAAGGGAGGTGCAGGGAGAAAGGGAGGAAAAAAACTTGAAAACATATTTTTTAATCTAAGGGAAAGGAGACTTCTGCTTCTGGCTATAATGCAATAACTTGACTAGCCCTCTTAGATTAGTAGTAACTATAAAACTGGACAAGATAAAGCAGGCAGCACAAGACTATTATCTCTGAAAGAAGGGAAATAAACAGTGAGCTTCACAACCGCCCAACTTCCTTACAGTGTAAAAAGGCTGGAGTCTGAGCAGAGCACAGAGCCTCTGCTGAGTTGAGAACACAGATTATAGTAGGGAACAGCTAAAATAGGTGCAATCTGTGGGCTGGACCACAAGAGAAGAGGGAACTCAGAGAAGTGGCCCGAAATCTGCATAGGAGTTCCCACAGTCCATGCTGAGGTCTGGGCTGTATATGATCAGACCAAGATAACCCAATGCTTATCAGATAGTAATGTTTAATGTTGAATAAAAAATGACCAGACTGGGGCCAGCAGGGAGTGTGGTTGTTATGACACTGGATTCCCACGTTGGTGAATGCAGTTTGAACCCCAAACCTGGCGGCTTGCTTTCTCACTTTCTCTTTGTCTGGTGAGCATGCATGCCTTATAGCAAATTTTAAAATAATAAGAACCAGCAGTTGGCATAATGGCTATATCGCTGAACTCCCGTGTGGCCAACTACAGTTCGAGTCCTGGACCCAGTGGCTTAAGTTCATGCCAGCGCATGTGCATGCGTGCCTAAGAGCCCAATAGGAGAATGGAGGAGAAGGGATTGTGGCATGGCCATCCCCCCCATGGGGTAATTTTGGGTAATTTCTCACTTTCTGTCTGTCTGGCGAGCGTATGCACCTTATAGCAAAAATCTCTTTAAAAAATAATAAAATTAAACAGTTTTTAAAAGTGCCCAGGCATTAAATAAACAAGAGCACATGATCCATAGTTTTAAGAAATTGAGATGGTCTTTGTTATCATTATTAATGTACATGGACATTATAAAAATACCTAACAAAGCACTGACCCCATGGCCTAGTGGTTAAGGGAGCTGAATCCCACATGGCTAGCTTGAAAAACACTGGGTATGGGGCCAGCAGATGGCATGGTGGTTAAGACACTGGATTCCCATGTGGCTGACCGTGTTTTGTGTCTTGGACCTGGAGGCTTGAAATTCATTCCGTGTGTGTGTGCATTGTGTGCCCAAATCCCAAGAGGAGAATGGAGGAGAAGGGATGGTGGCATGACCATCCTTGGGGAGGATGATTTCTCACTTTCTGTCTATCTCTCCAGCAAGCACAGGCACCCTACAGCAAAAATATCTTT